TGGTGGTGCAAATAAATGGCAAATATTCCACGCATGTATGCAGGACAGTTGAACATATCAGTTTCCTCAAACCATTCTGGGATGTTTAAAACACTCATGTGAGCAGAGAGATCTCAAGACCACGACAATCACCTCATGTGAGGCCTGGCATATTAGCAGGCAAACATTTACTTTATGCTAATTAGACGATTCTCAAAAGCACATTAAACGACACTAAGTGGCAATGAGTGGGATGTAATTCTAACCTGCTTTTTCTGGGTGGGGGAGGGGGGCATGTTTCTGACCTCACCTTGAACGTGACACTGGCTTTGGTGCAGTAGAAGCCGATGGACACCACAGGGGTGCGGGGACACTGCTGCAGGGGGCTGCTGGATCGGCCGCCCTCCCCAACCTCCTGGTAGTATCCATGCCCGCCACCCTTATCCTCGATGTCTTCCTCCTCCTCATCCTCGCTGACGATGGCCGGGACGAAGGACCAAGCCCAGGACACCCAGCCCTGCTCGGCCTCCTCCCCAACTGCCTCCATGCCTGGGTACAGGCCCGGCGAGCCCTGGGCGTCCCCCTCGCACTCTGTGCCTGTGGGTGACGGCAGAGACAGCGACTGTCAGTCCTGACGGCTGATGGCTCCATTTAAAACCCAGTGGCCTGTAAACAGCTCCTTTTATGTCCCAAATCTCCTTTACAGATTTAGCGAGTGCCGCAGCTCGGGGAGTAATTACTCTTAGCCATTAGCTTTCCATGCTCACTGTAAGTACCATAAACATACACCAAACAGCCCCATTCATCAAGCCATTATTGCAAGCTCAGTGGAGTAAATACTGGATGGGGGGGGGGGGGGGGGGAATAGTAAAAGCTTCCCTTATTTCCATTACATACATTCCAAAGCACAGAGAGTCAGGCTCGAAATCCGCTTTTGGTGTGAGGGGTTTTCGAATTCCTGTTTGATTTCTCGAGATTAAAAGGGCAGGGGGGGGCAAAGACACTTCCTGCACACATTCTCGCCGATATCCACCCACATGGATTAGTTCTAATATTAAACACATGGGCAACAGCAACGCCAGATGATGGAGCGGAGGATCCAAATTAGCTGGGATTTAGAGAATTAGAAGCATCTCCACCTCTCGCCGCACATTATTTTGACGTGAAGTCAGCGCCAAGTGCAAATCGGCGAGTTCGGATTACGTTTGCCTCAAGTTGGCGTTAGCCCTGCAGCAATGGCAACTAATTTGTTTGGACGACACCGGAGCCTCCGGCACGGAGGTTAATACTGACCAGGAGGCATGGAACTCGCCGCTCCCGTAAGAGCAGGAAGCCGGCGCTTTATCTGAGCGTCAGAAATTAGCCTGACAGCTGAAAGGGACAATATCTGTATTGTTTTTCATTTAGATCCCTATCTGAAGGCAATGAGAGGGGAGTCAGAATGAGTAAGGAGGCCACCAAGAGCACGAAGGGGGGAAGACTCCTTCACATGCTATGCAGCAACAAGAGCAGGGCACCATCACGATCTTTACATTGAGGTTACCAAGCAGGGGAGAGATAGAGAGAGAGAGAGAGACAGAGACAGAGCATGAAACAGAGAAAGAGAGACAGAAAGAAAGAGAGAGAGGGAGAGAGCGTGTGAAACACAGAAAGACAGAGAAAGACAGAGAAAGAGATACACAGAGCATTAAACACAGAGGGAGAGACAGAGAGACAGAGAGTGAGAGACGCAGAGAGTGAGTCTCTTTTAATCACCCTAGAGCAAATTTGCTTTGGTTTTGTTTTTCAAGACTGAAGGATGAATGCAGCATTAGCGAAAGTTAGCAATATGATTAGCAAGAACAGAGAAACAAAAAATGCAGACGACAAGCCAAGGGAGTGTCGTCATCACTAAAGCGCAGGTCTGGCTGACCCCCTCACTTTCAATCAGCGCTCGGCACAACCCACAGATCTGCTTGGCACCATGCAGACACTGACTGTGGGTCACACACTTCAATGAGGTTCAAATCAACAGGTTTTTGATTCGCTTAAAAAATTAAGCATTACAAGCAAGCACACTCACAAACCTGTTTTATGAAGTATGGTTTAAGCAAGCATTTTTTTTATATTTCAGTCCTGTAATAGTACTTAAATGCTCAGCAAACTGCCACATGAATCAGTGGTCAACTGATACTCGCGTTACTCCAATAACCAAAATAATTTTTCCACAGGGAAGAAAATTCTTTATGTTAATTTTTAACTAGAGGGCAAAAATGAGTCAAGCAGTGAGAAGAGAATCCACCTAAATCCGACTGAAAACATGCAAGAACCCAGCAGAGAAAAATCCCCAAAGATTCAGGGCTTCTAGAGAGAGGAATCCATGTGATCAGTCAAGGGAAATATTCACTTTCTCAGGATCCTCAGGTATGGGCAGATTTACACATCACACATGTGCAGGACAAAGGCAAGCAGGTATGTGTCAGAGCAAGTGAACACTCAACCGAACTGACAGTGTGCCTCTGGGTACAAGAGGGGTAACAGCGGGGACAGGCAGGTGGGGGGGGGGGTCAAGGACCAGGTGGCTCCAGTGCAAACAAAAGTGGGCTGGGGGTGGGTGGAGAGGCAAACACACAACAATACCTGAGCCGCCAACGTTCTCCGCCGTGTAGAGGTAGTCCATAAAGAAGGCAGAGAACCGCTGCATGCCAGCCGTCTCCGTGTAGGTCTCCTGTCGGGGAAACAAAGGCCATCAGGGGCCGGGCTGGTGGGGGCAGGCCTCCATGTTTGCACTCCCAATCGCCGCAGGGAGTTAATCTCCATGGGGGACAGGGGGTTATCTGCGGTCATACTTCTTCAGGTAGGTAGTGCTGCTTCAACTGCAGGCCAAACAAAGGAACCCACCTCCCCCTCAATTGTCCACTGCCCACATAGATGGGGTGGGGGGGGTGGGGGGGGACCAGGGTGCATAAATGGGGACATCCTGCAAGTTCTGTCACAAGCCCTGTCAAAGGTCCAGTGGGCCAAAGGTACGGCGAGTTAAACAATAGGGTGACGACACACTCGCTCCACATGGCCCAAGCGCCCTGCAAACACCACAGAGCACCTACAGAGGTTCAGGAAACCTCAATAACGAGCAGCAAATGGAATTAACACGAGTGGCGGGTCCCCAAAGACCATGGAGTAAAGGGTCTGTTTACGGAGCACAGGGGTGCTGGGACACCCCAGCACACCCAAAAGCCCAACGACAAACCTCCCTGGGCCTTCCGCTGATGAGAATAAACACGTCGCTCTATTTACAGCGCACTCAGCAAATATGAAAGTGGCTCCTTTGTTTTCAATTGGTGAACTTTCTGAGGAATGTGTCAGACGGTCTGACCTTGTGCTGGGCGGCGTCAAGGATGAACTCGGCGCGGACGCCGTTGTTCTCGGGGCTACGGTAGTCAAACAGCGAGTTGGTCAGGTAGGTGTTCCCCTTGACGCTGAGGGGCTGGCCGCAGCTGAAGAAGACAGCATCCTAACAAGGAAGAGGAGACCAGGCATTTTTAACACTGATCTCCAGTGTTCCCCACCCCGTTTCAGGAAACATGGCTACCAAAGACGCAAAATCAAAACATGTTCGAGAAAAGATTCACCAGCTGAATACTAAAACATAAACAAGCCCAGGATCTTTAGGAAGATACGCTTGATTAAAATTACCTAAAAAATTATACAAAAGTAAAATAACAGACACATCCTCCATGTGAAGAATAAGTAAAGCAAGGGGCCTGAGGATTAGTTAACCAGAGACAGACTGATAGCGGTAAACCCCGCCTCATACGCACAGGAATAGTGTGGATGCAAAGGAATAGATGCCTATAGGAAGGGCCAGATAGAGCCTGTTTTACCTCATCGCATCGGTTCATGTTGTCCTCAAAGTCCTTCACTCCCATGATTGTCTTCATGCAGAGTGCCCGGCAGCCCACGAAACCAATCTGACAGTTGAAAAAGGGCTCCCCCATCATTAGCACCTGATGCAATTAAAAGGGGAGGGGAACAGAGGAGAGATTTACAGACCAAGGATGGGCCCCCCGCTCCTACATCGATTTGCTTGATGTCAAGCCAAAGTGTTGGATCCCCACCCTTCCCCAGTCACAGGTCACAAATTCTTCCATAACCAGTTTTGACGACATTAAAAGAAAAACAGCGGTCTAGGCTACGGTGCCGGCGACATATTTTATTAGCGATGTTAATTAAAACTGTCGACGCTTGGCCCAAATGCGGACCCGAGGCTGCTCGCACCGTGCGGAGCGGCATCTCTCCTCAAAAGCCCTCGATGTGCGTAACCAGACAGCGATTACGTGAAAGTGTGTTTCACCACGCCATAATTAGAGACTGTGAGCCTCCCCCCCGCTCTCACATATGTGGTCTTCTCGATTTTGGACTTTGAAGAAGTCACCACCAGCGAGAGCATTAATTAAGAAATTGATAGGAAATCTTTTTGGATTTTCACATCTGTGAAGAAGCTTTGAGGACCATGGGGATTCCAGCTCAGATGCTATAAAAACATCCGTGTGTCTCCAGGACTAAGAACGTAAGCAGGGCTGCCAGATCAGCCTGGAAAGGACCGGAGTCTCACAAACAAACCTAGTGAGACAGGAAACCCGATCTGAGAGCGTTTCCCCAAACGCGGATGATAAAAGCAGCCAGAGCGGATCTCCCTCTGGGATACGCATGGCGCTCGTACCTCAATGGTGATGCCTTCCTCTTCCAAGCAGAGCACCTCCCTGGACTTGACCTTCTGGGGGCTGTAGTAGCTGCTCTCTGCCTGGGTCTCGGTCAGCTGCTCAGAGACAGGACACAGAAGTGGACACACAGGGTCCACAAGTGACATCATTCTTGTTCACATGTTCACCGAGGAGCGTCAGAATTCATGCTAAAAACCGGCTTCGGGACTAAGGGCCTGTTTTTTTGGACTGAACCATTCCCCTGTTCCGTGAGCTGAGATCAGGGCCAATAAGCTACAGAAGCGAACAAAATAACATTGAGGGAGTGATGCAGAGATGCAGAAGATACTGAACCATCTGACTGGGTACTAGAACCATCTGCCAAGAGAGAGACATGGTGACCATTTACATGGGGGACAGCAAGGGGCCCCATGGGTACTCGCCAAGGTGCCTGTTTAATCAAGGCTCACCGGCCGGGCCCTTCACAGAGGAACAGAGGAAGCAGGTGCCGGGGGTGGGGGGGACAGCTGTGCCTCATTATTCCAGCGAAAGGTCTCTCACAGCTCGATCCAGCAGAGAAAACAGAGCGACCCCCCCCCCCCCCCCCCCCCCCCCCCCCCCCCCCCCGATTTATGCATTGGCACTGGGGAGCAGGGATCACGCCAAGCACAAGCACACCCCCTCTTCCCCTAATGATGTTTGAAATTGTCATTGTGGTGTTTGAATTCTTTTAATCAATTAATTGCCTTGCTGTGGCAGTGATTGCAGGCAGCTGAGCACTCCCCCCCCCGCCCGTTTTACAGGGGTTCATTTTGCTGAAGAATTTATTCTGTGGGTGTTCACTTTGAACGGTCTCCATGCAAACCAGCCCCGGACACAACGGTTAAACGAGACAGAGGAATTTCATAAAAAAAAAAAAAACACACTAAATGGGAGATAACTGCCGATTAACGGAACAGCAGATGGGTTTTTTACCATTTTTTTTATGCTAAAGTTTAGATGGCCCACGTATGTAAATGGGACACCATGTTAACCTTTCATTTTATGCTGCAGCTGCATCTGAAGGTTCTCCTGTGTCCATTCTGATAACTTTTTTTTATATTTTAATTAAAGTTGCTTACATCTTCTCTGGTAAATACCAAGTCGGTTTTTTTCCCCCTTTCATTTTAAACTGCCCACATGTGTAGCATTTGTGTTTTAGTCAAAACGATTGGAGGTGAACTGGCAGTGGTAGCCCCAGTACCCGTAATGTGTTGTTTTAGGAAGGCGTACAGTCAGGGGGGCTTGACATCAAAGTGACGGAGGCCATTTTGGCTCTGGATAAAGCATCAGGCGCAGTCAGTGTCTGATGGAGGCCCGATCACGTGCCGTGGCCACAAAGAGCGGGAGGCTG